ACAAATAATAAAATTGCTTGAAATAAAACTAAAAAAACCGTTTTATAGTTGAGTTCAAATTGGATAAAAATACTAAATAAGTTTGACGAATTATGTACATTAGGATGAGTTTACACTGCTTTATTGACACTTGTATAATAATATCAACATCCGTGTCCTTCTCTATTAAAAAGCTGAGATAACGTTGTACAGATCCTACGATAGTGGAAACACTGTAATGCTCGAGTCTGTACTTTTTACGTGACGTAATCGTGTCGTGCGGTCAAGTTTGCTGCAGTCCGAACGTCTCGGCGACATGAATTACGTAATCCCTCGCTTTCCTTTGCATTTAATATTAAGTACTGTTATTGTAGCTCGAAAATGTCGTCATAACTTCTTGTGGCAACTAGAACAATAAGTAATTTTTACACATATTAATTAGTTACTTATTGATTAAAGTGATAATGAAAAATTCAGTTCGAATTATAGAAAATTACTGTTTTTTTTATAATATAAGGTGGTAAACGAGCAAACGTCCACCTGAAACCACCGAAATGGAAAGCGACCGCTGTCCATAAACATCCGCAATTGCGGATGCGTTGCCTACTCTTGATTGACGGAGGAGGAGACGCACATAAAGAGGACATTTCCCCTTCTTACGCGTCTCCTCCGCCGTCAAATCCACTTTTCCTTCCCATCCTTTCCTATTAAGAAAAGAGTGGAAAGGGAAAGGGACTGTAAAATAATTTACCAACTATTATTTATTATTTAATATCATAAGACTATCAAAAGTTTTAATTTAAATTTACAGGAAATCGTAAGAGAACAATTCAATTTAAATCTTATTTTATTTTGTAGGCCAACCTGTTTTTAACAATAACGAACTCTGCTGCTAGCAAGCTTACCGTCAAATATGTTACTAAATTTGCAGAAAAATATAGCTTTATGTACAGTTTTTACCACTTACCAATATTGATGTGAAAAGTCTCGTAATTTTTTTAAAAATACTTGTAAATTATTGTATTACAACTTTGGAATATATTAGTTACATTTTGGTAAAGAAAAAAAAAATCGATTCTGAACTTAACCTAGAGGCTTATCACAAATATTGGTGAGAACGTTTACGTAACGTAAATGTCATAATTTAGAATTCTCCAGCATCTATCCCGGGAGTAACGTTCATCAACTAATGTCATATTTACGACGAAGTTACGAATACGTTTCCGTATCACTATTCGGAATAGACTCTCTGTGACTTGACATTTAAACAGAAGAATCGCATCTTTACTATTTACATCCGGAATGCTGATAATCCGCATTGCGTCAAGTTGATTGACATTGACAACTTAAGATAGCGTAGGCTCGACTTATATGGCCACAGTTGTATCAAGATGTGCTTTGAATCGTAAACACTTGATAATAGATTTCAACGCGTGTGTCATCGCAAACAATGTCGTAAGATTTATCTCATTAACATCCGGCTTAATGTTGAAATGAATATTTTTATTTTAATTGATTTCTATGGATATTAGACGATAGAAAGTATTAGCCGAAAATTTACCTTATATTCATACTAATTAAGACAACTTTTCAGTACTTGAAGAAACTACGGGGTTTTTCTTACTTGTAATTGCTTATGATTTTTCAGAATTACGTTTATTTTCTTGAACTTTTGACTGGTCCATAATAATAATACTAATATTATAAAGTGGAAAGATTTGTATTTTTGTAATTAAATAACACAAAAACTACTGGCCTGTTTCTTAAAAAAAATCACCATTAAAAAGCTACGTTATCACTAAGTAATATAGGGTGTACTTTTTTTTTATTTTACGCGGGCGAAGTCGCGGGCAACAGCTAGTAGTGTCATAAAGTCGCCTATGTGATCAGTTTATAGTACGTTCAGGTCAATTTACTGGCATTTAATATTTTTTGCCAGCATTTAATTTAATAACATCGTATTAAATTTAATTGAATATATTACCGACGTTTGCGTGTATAATTTTTAAAACATATCTCAATGTAAACTATGACCTTTCGTATAAAAATGCCAGATCTCATTATGTAAAAAAGAGTATTACAAATTTATTGCACTGACCTTACTGACCACATAGGGTTGGCAAACTTTACAATGGATTACACGATTACAATCTATAGATATGACAATTATCTATAGATATACGTTAGCCGCGTTTTATTGGTCAAATTTATGGACATGGAAATCACAAATATTAATCCAAATTTAAAGACTCAGCTTGACTTCAGATGTCTTATTACTTGATATATTTCTCTTACTAAAAATACATTATTATATTTAATTAATGTAGTGTATAGATAATAAAACTTTCAACTTATTAATGCCTTAATCACAGTCTATACTCTAAACCATGCTTTTTTCACCAGTTTAAAAGGAAAATTATTGAATTTTATTTCCAAGTAAATACAATAATAATATAAATACAAATACAAGTAAATATATTGTTTACTTCATTTAAATACGATTGTGAAATATCCCGGATCTTAAATCAGTGTTTAAACACATATTTGACAAATCATCTGAAACGGATAGAGAACTTTCTTATAAATCCTAGACAATATTAATTGTTTTGTATTTGCATGAAAAATTGGGTGTTTCTACTTTTTAGTATCAATATTCACTCAAAAGTAGATAAGTGAACATACCAATTCCAAGCCAACGTCCATCATTAGTTTGTGTTACAAGTACTATATTTGGCAAAGTGCGCGACCCGCCATTTGGCTATTGGCTAATGTTACAACCTTTTCTTAGTTAACGAGACGTGTTTATTCCTAATCCGTGTTCGATATGATGCTTTATTATGTCTAGTAACTTTGTAAATTCAGTGATAGTTCGTAGTTCATTGACTGCTGGAAATCGCTTGTTCAATGAGTACGTAGAGTGTAGCAGGAAATGTAAGGAGTTCTATTCATAAGTTAGTTATTATGCTACAGGACAGTTTACAACACAGTAAAGACTTTTCTCTATTACAAAATACATGTAAATGCGAGACCGATTTTTCGCCATTTTAAATGCATTGTTTTAGTATGACAATGTAAAGGTATTTCTAAAAGTTTGTCGACGCGTCTGTTTGTCGCAACAATTGAGGTCAGGTTCATTTGTTTGGTATACTTTACGTAAATACTTAAATATTACACATGTTTGCGGATTGGATTACGCGCACTTTAGTTAGGGGCGTTCTTTTTTAGTCTGTAATCGTTGGTATTAAAAAGGATTGATTTAGTAAAATAAACTTTAAAATCACAGATAATATAGTCTACTTTACTGAGACAGTTAAAGCTTGTGTCATGAGTAGAAAAGGTCATAGTGATCAAGAAAAAGTAATAAGAAAGGCCTATTTCTATTGTTTAATGCAAACGAACCTGCCTAAAATGGAACGTTCGGCTGCGTCCAACCTATACGTCTAGGTGACGTCATAACCTTCAATTTGTATCAAAACTAATTGTTGGACAAAAACTGATATAGCAAATCCCAGCGTCGTAGCTAACCTATTTCTATATTCACAGATAAATTAATTTGTAATTTTACAAGCTATTGCCCGCGACTTAGTCCGCGTAGAATTTAGAAAAAACATTTAAGTAGCCTATGTGTAATACTACGCTTTGCATCTTTGACAAACATACAAATTTTCATAATTATAACAAGACTAATAACATTAAGATTTTTACAATAGTACTTTCAATAGGTTAAAGTTGCGACATTTTACACCTACAAATATTTTGATTTAAATTATTAGAATTTACTCAATCGTAGGCGTAAGGTCACATGCTACTTGCATTTGTTGATATTGTTAAAGCAATAAAGATGACAGTTAGATGTGATATTTCAATATTTATGGCATTTAAAAAATTAACGATTACTACACGAACTGTTAAAAGATATGTTGTTCTGTCTACAAACGACAATGTCTATGGTAAGGGTATTTCAATAGTAAAAAACTAGTTCTTAGCTTTAAATAAATAGTTACTCTCAAGTCGGAATCTACTTTGAATACTTTCTTATACAATATGTACACAAGTCGTATCCAACAATGCACTATTTGATAGTAGTAGACAACTTCAACAACGACAACAACAACAATAACAACAACTATGAAATACAACATATTTGATAATAAATTAATTGAAATAATTACAAATTGTAAGTAAGGTATGCGTGAGGAACATATTAGTTTCCTTCAAATAAAAACATTCGTATTTCAACCTACGATCCGATGAAGTCGTCATAATATAACAAAATTAGTTAATTCTAATACATTGCCAATGCCACAACAAGGTTAAATTCATTTCGTATAAAGACAGAGGTTAATATGTCGCCATTACTCAATACCAGTTATTTGTAAAAAATAGTTTGAATAGCAAATACGAGAACATTTCAAGCGCCTACAAAATTATAATAGCAAAAATATGTTTAGTACTTATTACATATTACTCACCAGGAGTTCTTAAAGTTGAATCGATAGATTTCAACTTGTCATGAGAAATATTAGGTTGAAAACTTTAGATTACGTACTGTGATATACGCAGCATTTAAAATATAATCAAATTAGACCAACCAAATTACATTAACGTTCTATTACGTAGGAGACACCTAGTGTCTACTTTTTTTTTCATAAGAATAATGTTTGGGTGATAATTTAAATTTCTCACTATATTTAGTAGTATAAATAATAAATGTTTTGACATTTATCTTGACGAGATGCGAGTTTATGTTATCGGTGAATCAGTGCTAACAAATTTGTAAGTAATGTGACCTTTAAATCGTAATTTCATACTGAGGCATTAAACAATCTACCTTAAACTCAATGTCTTATTAGTTTTTATACTCAACTTGTCAATATTTGTATGGTTCAGGCTATTTTTTTATGTATGTGTGAAATTTAGGTATGCATAATATTACCATGCCTTACATGTAACACTGTGTATTTTTATAAATAGCAAAAATAATAACAGTAAATAAAATAAGCTTTGTTTATTTGTTGCAGAGGCTGTCACTGCACATAGCGGTGGTCCTGCTGGCGGTGTACCACACCTGCAAAGCAGATCTAGCGAAAAGAGATGTGTCAAGCTTGTACAATCAGAACTATGCGGTCCTGGGAGCACCGATAGATGCTAATTTGAACGAGGATGGGTACTTCTACCCTAAGCCCAAGATACCATTCCCTCCGCCGCCGCC